AACAAGCCAATTGGGCCATACCTGTGACTCCTAAACGCAACACCGCATGCATCCCTAAACCCTAAACCCTAAACCCTAAACCCTAAAACGCTAAGGCTCGAGGTTACAACATCTGTAAGGATCCCACCATGGACTGGGTGGTGAAATGCCTTCGTATTAGCGTTGACACGAAAGCCTGTAGACACATGGGGGCTTCCGAAATAGGGTTTAGGGTTTAGGGTTTAGGGTTTAGGGTTTAGGGTTTAGGGTTTATGAGGGACCCCCACCATGCATCTCTCATCGTAGGTTACCCTTATAGTAAGGAGCCCAACAAGCATAGACAAAAAGGTGAGTTGAAGCAAGGGATTCTTGTCTTTCCCTTCGACCCTAAACCCTAAACCCTAAACCCTAAACCCTAAACCCTAAACCCTAAACCCTAAACCCTAAACCCTAAACCCTAAACCCTGACTTGGCACATTTCAACTTATCATGGAACCAAAGATGAGATTCCATGGGAAGGAGAGCAAGAATCCTGAAACACTCAAGCCCTGAGGCCCCAAACCCCTAAAAACCCTAAACCCTAAACCCTAAGACCCTAACCCTAAACACAGGCCACTATTTCTTGGGGGACTTCGGGATCGTGCAGGTGGTGGCAGGCCATCACACCTCCAGTCCGAACCCTAGAAACCCAAAACCCTAGACCCTATAAACCCTAAACCCTGAGCCCTAACCTAAGCCCAAAGCCTTGAACCCTAAACCCTGAACCCTAAGCCCTAAGCCCTAAGCCCTAGCGCTCCTCCGGCGTTCCCGCAGCTGGCGTGGACACGCGATACTCTGCCAGGATCGCCTCCTAGGACGATGAGCGGAGGTGTAGCGGCTTAATTTGGGGTTTGGGGTTTAGGGTTTCGGGTTGAGGGTTCAAGGGTTCAGGGTTCGGGGTTTAGGGCCTTAGGGCTTGCCAATGTTCCGCTCGCACCACCGCGCAGGACGCGTGTTGTGGTGTGCGCCCAGGTTCACGCGCTCTCCCAACCCACCCACGCACATCTCAGGGTCTATAGGGCTCTGTCGAGGGCTTGAGGCGTCCACGAGCAGCTTTAGACTTACGAAGGGTTTTAAACCAGGAGCGAATTTTAACCCGAAACCCTAAACCCTGAACCCGAAGATTCAGGTGTACATGTGCATATGTATATATATATATGTATATATATATATTTTTTTTTCCGAAGCCATACCGTGAATCGACTGTACGTCAACTTCAAGACACGGCGTTGGCGCAGCAAAAAGGAGGCTTACCCTCTGCAGACGCTTTAGAACTGTCTTTGCAAACCTGCATTATAGATGAGATTATCTTGTACCGGGGTTTCTTCATAAGATATTCTGCCAAGCGTCTCTTCCCACACAAACTTCTTTGCATGGTGTATCCAAGTTTGCCGGGGCTTCCCAACTCGCTTTTTGCCATACTCGATTCTAGTGGCACTGCTGGGCATAAACGATACCTGTCTTAAAGGATCTGAATCTGTACTACGAAGTATATGACCTAAAAGCTTAGCCCGTCGTAAATTATGGAACTCACTAAATAGTAGTATCTTTCGTTGGTCGTCCCGGCTTGGAAATGCTATCATACTTGCTTCTTCCAGAAGCTTTGCATTAGTATTTGTACGGTCTATATAGGTGTGAGCTTTGTTTAAAATCTTGCGAATGCCCCTCATTTGGAACGCATTGAGCTTCTTTGCCATAGCAGTGGTTAAGTGAATAGTTTCTAGCCCGTAGAGTAGTTTGCTGCGGATAATGGCATCATATACTATTAGTTTCCACCTCTTGCTAGCATGGGTTGCTTTCCAATAAGGGGTTAATTTGATCCAAGTGCGTCTTACCTCTTGTAGCTTGTTCGAGATTTCATGACGAATATTGACCTCCCTGTTAATTTCATTGCCAAGATACGTAGCTTCGAATTCTGTGGCTAAGGGCGTGCCATCTTGAAAATGAATGGAACCATCATTATTCATGGGTATTGCGACGCACTTGTCTCTGTTCAAATGGAGTCCGTATTGTTGTGAAATCCTCTCGGTGAGACACAAAAGTTCGTTGAGACCTCTGTTGCTCTGGGAAAACACAATCGTGTCATCAGCATAGTAAACCATGTCAAAATCCAGACCCGGAACTCTATTATTGGCTACGTGACCAGTGATGGAGGATTGAATATCAGAATCAATGCACGACATAACCAATGTGAACAAGAAAGGGCTCAACGGGCATCCTTGCCGTATGCCGCTTTTTTGCTCTTTTATTGTTGAAGTAGCGAAATCGTCCTTCACATAGAATGTCGGCTTTCGATAACAATCCGCAATAACGTCTATGTAATGCTGGCTGAAACCAAGTCTAGATAAAGCAACCAACAGCTTATCATGTTGAATCTTATCGAAAGCCTTCTCCCAGTCTAGTAATGCGATGCTTAGCTTAGCGGCTTTCGACTCTGCAAAGTCCTGTATACGTCTGATAAGGTAGATGGCATGTGAAGTGGACTTGCTCGGTCGGAAACCGTACTGCGTCCTTGTTAAAAGGTGCTCGATCGAATTTTGCATTCTGGTCCTGATCATCATCATATACACCTTGTAGATGCTATTTAATAGAGATATAGGCCTATAATTAGAAGCAACATCTGTATCTCCTTTCTTGAAGATTGGAGCGACCCGCGCCAAGAATAGTTCTTCGGGTGCGGTCTTGTTAGACCACCAGCTATTGATTAAAAGAAGTAGGATATCTCTATTTGGCGCATCGAGCCACTTCAAGAGCTCTATGATGATCCCATCAAGTCCAGGTTGTTTATGACATTTTGCTGCTTGTAAGGCGTCGTTCAATTCTGAAATAACGAAAGGCGACTCATCAGCAAAATTGTTGTCAACAATTTTTGTCCTGCATGGCTGTCCGTTAACATCATTTTTCCAATGTTCTTCTTCCAAATAACTTGCAACAGTTTCTGCGCGAAGGATCAACGGAACGTGTTTGCCATGTTTGTTTTTCATTTTAACATATTGCGGTGTGAACTTTCTCTTCAAACTCCGAACTGCTTTCCATAATCCTTTTTTGTTTGGGTCCATAGGGTTTTCATTAAACTTCTCCATCAGAGAGGCTTGTTTATCCATGTTAGCCGATTTTGCAATGTCGTTATTTAGTTGTTTTAGTTCAGCAGAAGTCATACCGTGTCTTCTTCCTAGGTTTCGTTTCTCAATTTTTGCCCAAGTCCCCCTACTAATGTATGATTTTTTCTTGTCATGAGGGATTTTTTCTAGATGTTTATCAGCTGCTTCTTGTAGCAGTGCAGAAAATGATTGTAAGCAAAGTGAGTCACGTTTTATTGCATGCTGAATATGCATGTTGTAATTTTTCCATCTTTCCACATTGGGCTTGTAAAAACGTACAGTTCTTTCTTTGTTATGTGTTTTGTGGTATAGTCCTTTGATCATGATCCGGCACTCTAGCACAAAATGGTCAGAATCGTAGAAAATGTCCTTTCGGCTTTGTGCATCTTTAATCGTTGATCTCCACGCGTCTCCTGCCAACCAATAATCTAATTGAGCATATTTGTGTGCATCGTATGGGGGTCCTATGTCCAAATTGTCTTCTTGCTGTGCACACTTTTCTTTGTATGTCAGTAATTTTTCAGGCGGTTTCCGGAATTGTGTGTTCATTATTTTCAATGCATGAATTTTGCAAAAACCTAAAAATAGGGCTCTGCTTTCTTTGGTAGTTTCGCTCATTCCATCCAAATACGCCATTCCTCTTCCCAGTATGTGTGGACCGCAAACGTCTTTGTCTACATTGCGGACATAGTGCAACCTGGCATTGAAATCACCACCTACATAATAAGTTCCCTTAGTTTGCAGGATCTCATCTGATAATAAATCATAAAAGTTTTCTTTTTCTTCACCGGCATGTGCGCTATGTGGTGCATAGATAGCAAAAAAAGAGATGTCTGAGCCAGAAGCGGCGAAAGTAGCTTTCATCATTCTACCGTTGATCTGTTTAATGTCTTTTAATGAATCTACCAGCGTACCTTTGATAACAATTGCAACACCAGCATTTTCGAAGTCCGGGGCGTTCCGAAAATGTGTGTATGTGGTAGTTCTATCCTTACTTGCCTGTGATTTTTTCTCTTCCTTTCTTTTCATTTCTTTCTCTCTAACTTTAGGATCAATGCTCGAGCTAAAAAAGCAATAATAGCCATCCCAAGCTTCCCAACTGCTTGAGTTAACATTTGTTTCACTCAAAAGCATGATATCATATTTGTTGCGGCGCATAATGTCTGGGATTATCTCTCGCTTAGTGTTTTTGTTTAAACCACGAACGTTTAAGCACGCAGCTCTAATGTAACATTGGTTTGCAAGCTTTTTAGCTTGCGGTGAAGGTCTAGCTGTTGAAATTCTTGCCATTTTTTGTCTATGAAATTTACAAATGTCTTTGAATCTTGTTCTCAACATTTCTTTATTGTTACGGAACCATTTCTTACTTTTAAGCTGAATTTTCCATTTCTGTAGTGATGAGAATGTTTTGCGCTTTGAAGAGTTAGAACTTTTGAGGTGCTCCTGTGCTGCCTTGTTGGCTCTTCCCCAGAGTTTTGTTCGTTTGAACCAACGCCACAACGATCTATGGAGTCGCCTTCGGTAGTTACGAGAGCAATAGCTGGAAGTGTAATTTCTGGTTTTATTTTGAACAGAACTCTGGGGCTGCTTCGTCTGCCCGATGGGCATTGTCCCGGGGCACCGTCTGGAAGGTGCAGGTTGCTGTTGTGTTGTGTTGTTTGTTCCGGTGCAGCAGCTGTTGTTGCCAACCCCTTGTCTTGTGCAAGGGGGGGATTGTTGCCTCCATTGTTGCCTCATGTTTTTGACCGAAAATGCGCGATCTAGTCACTCATTTTTGGGTTCATCGTCATTTGTTCCTTCCTCGGTTCTAGCACCGGCAAACGTGCAAACATATGGAAATCTGCTATAATCGCTAAATCTTGGGTGATCTCGATGTGCAACTCGCCACGCTTCATGCCAGTTTGTTCGTACGACTTCAACGAAGCTCTTCTGGAGAACGATTGCAGGTACACCTTGGTCTTTATCATAGGTTGCTTTGGCCACTGCTGATTTGGTGTTCAGGTCAAAGATCTGCTTGTCCGATGGTCTGTGCGAGAGCTGGTCCTTTCCCGCATAGCCTGTCTGCTCACTGGAAGTCAAGATGTGCAAGACCGTGATGAGTGCGAGGTTTATCGTCTGGTCGATTTTCCCCATATAGTTGGTGATGACCAGCTTATGCCATCCACCTTTCCAGTGCTGCATGTAATTACCATACGAATCCCAGTAATAGAGTGGTTTCTTCGCAGAAAAGCTCGTGTAGGCAAACTTCTCAAACATATGATGCGTATCCTGGTCTTCAAAGGTCAGAATGGTAACTGGCGAAAGAACAAACTTGCGTCCAGAAGTATAATACCCATGCTCCTGCTTGGTCTGCTGTTGTACATGAGCTTGCTGTAACAGCCAATCAGTAACTCTGACTCTGTCGTAATATGTTGCATTCTGCGGCCACGATTTGATTATCATCTTGAGGGTGGTGTACTTGGCCTCACGCTCGAAAACGATCTCATGTGTGAAGTCTGAGAGGCCCCTGAGGTCGTCAATCTCTTCATCGTGTCTGTTTGCAATCTCTGTCAACCTGTCAAGCTGAGCTTGCATATTGTTCTGCTGTCCTTGTACCTGTTCAGTTGATGTTGCTCCCGCAGCTCGCCATTGGTCTAACTCGTGCTTCATCTGCAAGCTGAGGTCCTTCATTTGCTGTATGAGCTCACGCGTCTCCTTGTCAACCTCTCTCTTACTCTTCTTCTCTATGGCTTCTGTGGTAGTGTCCGTCTCCTTTGTTACGCGCTGAGGTGTAGAAGCAATCTCATACAAGGATTTCGATGAGGTTGTAGATCTTTTGCTCCATATTCTGCGCGGATTGATTGTCTTATGCGAGTCCATCTCGACATCGGGTTTGTCCTTCATCTTCTCATCATTTGCTTGCTGATCTTCATGAGCTTTGTTTAAGATCTCCACGTCATCATCTGACTGATCCCTTGCATCTGTCTTCTCTTTTGCCTTCTTGTCTTTGAGGTGAGGTTTCTTGACTTGTGCCATCTGCTGCTGCTGACCGGGATGAACTAGGGGACTCTCTAAACATTTCGAGCCCAAACCCCTATATATATATGTAAGAGGGACCTTTAGGTACTATGTGATTACTTTCCTTTCTTGGAGAAGGAGGTTAAATAGTTTAAATAGTTTAGATAGTTTAGATAGTTTAGATAGTTCAGTTTTCCCTGAACTATCTAAACTATCTAACCTCGATTTTGGGAGAAAAGGAGGTTAGATAGTTTAGATAGTTTAGATAGTTTAAATAGTTTAGACGAGCCCCTAAACTATCTAAACTATCTAACCTCGATTTTGGGAGAAACAGAGGTTAGATAGTTTAGATAGTTTAGATAGTTTAGATAGTTTAGAAAGTTTCAAACCTCCTGGGGGCCTCCCCGGAAAGAGGTTAGATAGTTTAGATAGTTTAGATAGTTCAGGAAGCCCCTGAACTATCTAAACTATCTAAACTATCTAACCTCTTTCCGGGGAGGCCCCCAGGAGGTTTGAAACTTTCTAAACTATCTAAACTATCTAAACTATCTAAACTATCTATCTAACCTCGATTTTGGGAGAAAAGGAGGTTAGATAGTTTAGATAGTTTAGATAGTTTAGAGACGAGCCCCTAAACTATCTAAACTATCTAACCTCGATTTTGGGAGAAAAGGAGGTTAGATAGTTTAGATAGTTTAGATAGTTTAGATAGTTTAGATAGTTTAGATAGTTTAGACGAGCCCCTAAACTATCTAAACTATCTAACCTCGATTTTGGGAGAAAAGGAGGTTAGATAGTTTAGATAGTTTAGATAGTTTAGATAGTTTAGATAGCCCCTAAACTATCTAAACTATCTAACCTCGATTTTGGGAGAAACAGAGGTTAGATAGTTTAGATAGTTTAGAAAGTTTCAAACCTCCTGGGGGCCTCCCCGGAAAGAGGTTAGATAGTTTAGATAGTTTTCAAAGTTTCAAACCTCCTGGGGGCCTCCCCGGAAAGAGGTTAGATAGTTTAGATAGTTTAGATAGTTCAGGAAGCCCCTGAACTATCTAAACTATCTAAACTATCTAACCTCTTTCCGGGGAGGCCCCCAGGAGGTTTGAAACTTTCTAAACTATCTAAACTATCTAAACTATCTATCCTCGATTTTGGGAGAAAAGGAGGTTAGATAGTTTAGATAGTTTCGATAGTTTAGATAGTTCAGACGAGCCCCTAAAGTATCTAAACTATCTAACCTCGATTTTGGGAGGAACAGAGGTTAGATAGTTTAGATAGTTTAGATAGTTTAGATAGTTTAGACGAGCCCCTAAACTATCTAAACTATCTAACCTCGATTTTGGGAGAAACGGAGGTTAGATAGTTTAGATAGTTTAGATAGTTTAGATAGTTTAGAAAGTTTCAAACCCCCTGGGGGCCTTCCCGGAAAGAGGTTAGATAGTTTAGATAGTTTAGATAGTTCAGGAAGCCCCTGAACTATCTAAACTATCTAAACTATCTAACCTCTTTCCGGGGAGGCCCCCAGGAGGTTTGAAACTATCTAAACTATCTAAACTATCTAAACTATCTAAACTATCTAAACTATCTAACCTCGATTTTGGGAGAAAAGGAGGTTAGATAGTTTAGATAGTTTAGATAGTTTAAATAGTTTAGACGAGCCCCTAAACTATCTAAACTATCTATCCTCGATTTTGGCAGAAACAGAGGTTAGATAGTTTAGATAGTTTAGATAGTTTAGAAAGTTTCTAACCTCCTGGGGGCCTCCCCGGAAAGAGGTTAGATAGTTTAGATAGTTTAGATACTTCAGGAAGCCCCTGAACTATCTAAACTATCTAACCTCTTTCCGGGGAGGCCCCCGGGAGGTTTGAAACTTTCTAAACTATCTAAACTATCTAAACTATCTAAACTATCTAACCTCGATTTTGGGAGAAAAGGAGGTTAGATAGTTTAGATAGTTTAGATAGTTTAGACGAGCCCCTAAACTATCTAAACTATCTAACCTCGATTTTGGGAGAAAAGGAGGTTAGATAGTTTAGATAGTTTAGATTGTTTAGATAGTTTAGATAGTTTAGATAGTTTAGATAGTTTAGATAGTTTAGATAGTTTAGATAGTTTAGACGAGCCCCTAAACTATCTAAACTATCTAACCTCGATTTTGGGAGAAACAGAGGTTAGATAGTTTAGATAGTTTAGATAGTTTAGAAAGTTTCAAACCTCCTGGGGGCCTCCCCGGAAAGAGGTTAGATAGTTTAGATAGTTTAGATAGTTCAGGGGCTTCCTCAACTATCTAAACTATCTAAACTATCTAAACTATCTAACCTCTTTCCGGGGAGGCCCCCAGGAGGTTTGAAACTTTCTAAACTATCTAAACTATCTAAACTATCTAACCTCGATTTTGGGAGAAAAGGAGGTTAGATAGTTTAGATAGTTTAGATAGTTTAAATAGTTTAGACGAGCCCCTAAACTATCTAAGCTATCTAACCTCGATTTTGGGAGAAACAGAGGTTAGATAGTTTAGATAGTTTAGATAGTTTAGATAGTTTAGAAAGTTTCAATTCCCTCTGGGTCGTCCCCAGCCAGAGGTTAGATAGTCTAGATAGTTTAGATAGTTCAGGAAGCCCCTGAACTATCTAAACTATCTAAACTATCTAACCTCTTTCCGGGGAGGCCCCCAGGAGGTTTGAAACTTTCCAAACTATCTAAACTATCTAAACTATCTAAACTATCTAAACTATCTAAACTATCTAACCTCGATTTTGGGAGAGAAGGAGGTTAGATAGTTTAGATAGTTTAGATAGTTTAGATAGTTTAGACGAGCCCCTAAACTATCTAAACTATCTAACCTCGATTTTGGGAGAAACAGAGGTTAGATAGTTTAGATAGTTTAGATAGTTTAGACGAGCCCCTAAACTATCTAAACTATCTAACTTCGATTTTGGGAGAAACAGAGGTTAGATAGTTTAGATAGTTTAGATTGTTTTAGAAAGTTTCAAACCTCCTGGGTGCCTTCCCGGAAAGAGGTTAGATAGTTTAGATAGTTTAGATAGTTCAGGAAGCCCCTGAACTATCTAAACTATCTAAACTATCTAACCTCTTTCCGGGGAGGCCCCCAGGAGGTTTGAAACTTTCTAAACTATCTAAACTATCTAAATATCTAACCTCATTTTGAGGAAGAAAATTGGCGGGATGTTAGATAGTTTCGTATAGTTTAGATAGTTTAAAATAGTTTAGACGACCACTAAACTATCTAACTATCTCCTCGATTTGGAGAACAGAGGTTTAGTAGTTTAGATATTTTAGGTATAGGTAGAAGTTTAGATGTTTAGATAGTTTAGATATTTTAGAAAGTTTCAAACCTCCTGGGGGCTCCCCGAAGAGGTTAAGATAGTTTAGATAGTTCAGGAAGCCCCTGACTCTCATAAACTATCTAAACTATCTAAACTATCCTAACCTCTTTCCCGGGGAGGCCCCCGGAAAAGGTTTGAAACTTTCTAACTATCTAAACTATCTAAACTATCTAAACTATCTAACCTCGATTTTGGGAGAAACAGAGGTTAGATAGTTTAGATAGTTTAGATAGTTTAGACGAGCCCCTAAACGATCTAAACTATCTAACCTCGATTTTGGGAGAAACAGAGGTTAGATAGTTTAGATAGTTTAGATAGTTTAGACGAGCCCCTAAACTATCTAAACTATCTAACTTCGATTTTGGGAGAAACAGAGGTTAGATAGTTTAGATAGTTTAGATAGTTTAGATAGCTTAGAAAGTTTCAAACCTCCTGGGGGCCTCCCCGGAAAGAGGTTAGATAGTTTAGATAGTTTAGATAGTTCAGGAAGCCCCTGAACTATCTAAACTATCTAAACTATCTAACCTCTTTCCGGGGAGGCCCCCAGGAGGTTTGAAACTTTCTAAACTATCTAAACTATCTAAACTATCTAACCTCCATTTTGGGAGAAAAGGAGGTTAGATAGTTTAGATAGTTTAGACGAGCCTCTAAACTATCTAAACTATCTAACCTCGGTTTTGGGAAAAAAGGAGGTTAGATAGTTTAGACAGTTTAGATAGTTTAGATAGTTGAGACGAGCCCCTAAACCATCTAAACTATCTAACCTCCTTTTTTCCCAAAATAGAGGTTAGATAGTTTAGATAGTTTAGATAGTTTAGAAAGTTTTAATTCGCTCTGGGTCGCCCCCAGCCAGAGGTTAGATAGTATTGGGGGGAGGCGCGGGCTCGTAATTTAGTATTACGGGAGGCCCGGGCTCGTAATTTAGTATTGGGGGGAGGCGCGGGCTCGTAATTTAGTATTGGGGGGAGGTGCGGGCTCGTAATTTAGTATTGGGGGGAGGCCGGGCTCGTAATTTAGTATTGGGGGGAGGCCCGGGCTCCCCCGCCTTTTCGGACTTAAATTATTTACATAATTTAAATGTGACGGGCAGGTTTCGGATTTATATTATTTAAATTATTCAATTCGGCCGGGAATTCAATAATTCAAATAATTTACATAATTTACATAATTTACATAATCTAAATAGTTTAAATAATTTGAATAATTTAAATCACTCAAATAATTTAAATAATTTAAATAATTTAAATCCGAAAGTGGGGGGGGATTCTGAGTTCACGTTTTCACCCAAAGCGCTAAATCGCAAGGCCTGGTCCCTAAGATTTTGGGTTCAAGTTTTCCTCCAAAGAGCCAAATCGCAAGCCCTGGTCCCTAAGATTTTGGGTTCAAGTTCTCATCCAAACAGCCAAATCGCAAGTCCTGGCCCCTAAGATGTTCGATTCAAGTTTTCCTCCAAAGAGCCAAATCGCAAGCCCTTGTCCCTAAGATGCTCGGCCCAAGTTTCCCCCCAAAGCCCTGGTCCCCAAAATTTCGGGTTCAAGTTTCCCCCAAGGAGCCAAATCGCAAGCCCTGGTCCCTAAGATTTTCGGTTTAAGTTTTCCTCCAAAGAGCCAAATCGCAAGCCCTGGTCCCTAAGATGTTGGGTTCAAGTTTTCATCCAAACAGCCAAATCGCAAG